ATGTGGTGGTGTAAAAGCTCAAACTCCAAAAAAACACCACCTTTCTGAAGAACCAAGGGAAAGGGCCCTTCCAGTCCCAAGAATGTGTGTGTTGGGGAAGGGATGTCTTTGTGGGGATTTCCCCTGCTCTTTTCTCTTTTGCTTTGTTACCACAGAGCTGCAGGGTGGTAGTGAAACAGGCAGGGAAAACTGAGAAACCCTCACCTCTGGTCAGAGGCCCAAGAGAAAGGAGCTCCTGAAGGCTGGAAAGTGTTGGGATGAAGAGAGGAAGAAACTGAAGGAGAGCCTATTATTGTTTGTACCAGACCCCACACAGCTGTCAGGCTCATCTCTGAGCTATGCGCAGGACCGCTCCAATACAGTATGGCAAAGGCTCTGAGATTTCAGCTCTCACTGCCATCTCCAGACGACCTGAATAGACATTTTTTCTGAAGACACAGAGATGGCCAACGGACACATGAAAAGATGCTCAATACCACTTATCAGGGAAATGCAAATCAAAACCACAATGAGATATGACCTCATGCCAGTCAGAATGGCTAGTATCAAAAAGAAATAAGCATTGGCAAGGATGTGGAGAAAAGGGGACCGTGGGCACTGTTAGGGGGAATGCAAACTGGTGCACAGTGGTGCAGCCACTGTGGAAAGCAGTATGGGGGATCCTCAAAGAGTTAAAAATTCCACCGGGGAGTATTTACCCAAAGAAAACAAAAACGCTAATTTGAAAAGATACATGCACTCCTGTGTTCACTGTGGCATTATTTACAAGAATAAGATATGGAAGCAATTTAGGTGTCCACTGATGGATGGTTGGATAAAGAAGATGTGGTATATATACACAATGGAATATTCTCAGCTATAAAAGGTGAAATCTTTCCACTTACAACAGGGATGGACCTAGAAGGTATTATACTGAGAGAAATAAGTCAAAGAGAAAAAGACAAATACCATATGATTTCACAGATGTAGAATCTAAAAAACAAAACAAGCAAACAAACAAAAAACAGACTCATAAATATGGAGAATAAACTGGTGGTTGTCAGGGGTGGGGGGGTAGAGTACAATATTCCAGGTATAAAATAAATAAGTCCCAGAGATGCAAAGTACAGCATAGGGAATACAGTCAAGAATGTTGTATAGATGGTAACTATACTTATCCTGGTGATAATGCATAAATGGCCAAAATTATTGGATCACTATGTTGTATACCTGAACTAATATAACACTGTATGTCAGCTATACTTTAGTTAAAAAAATAAAAAACCAATACCATCTCAGACTAACCCCTGAGTAACATTATGTGTGGGACAGAGCCAGAGAAGCATTAACAAAACCTTTGAAAATTGAGCTGACACTGGAATCGCCAGCCACAGAAGATAGAACTTGCAGTCTGAGCCTAACCAGGGTCACTGCCCATTTACAACAAAAATCTTTTTTTTTTTTTTTTTAAGTAGGCTCCACGCCCCAGAGTGGAGCCCAACATGGGGCTTTGAACAGACGCTGAGATCAAGAGTCAGACGCTTAACCAACTGAGCCAGCCAGACGCCCCCTAAAACAAAACTCTTAACATTCTCCAGAGGATTATACAACAGGTTCCAAAGTGGACACAACATAACATTTCAAATGTCCAGGATACAATCCAAAATTACGTGACATACACACCCCACCCCACCCCCTGCCCCACAGAAACAAACAAACAAACAGAAAAACACCAAAAAAACCCCAGGAAAATGTGACCCACTCTTAAGGGAAAAAACAAATAACCCAGATTTGGGGAATCATCAATAAAGGTAAAATGGTAAGAAAGAATGATGTTCTGGGCAAACAGATCTATATGCAAATTTTGACCTCAAAAGATCTGAAATAAAAAATTCACCGGATGGGCTCGGTAGGGAGAATGGATATAGCAGAAGAAAGAGTCATTGAACCTGAAGTTAAACTGAAGAGTTATTAAACAATCTGAAGGACAGAAAGTTTGGGGAAGAAAATGAACAGAGAGAGCATCAGTGGCCTACGGGATAATATCAGAAGGTCTGACATCATTGAGTCCCAAAAGGAGAGGAGAAAGGGATTAGTGCAGAAAAAACATCTGAAGAAATAATAATTTGGTAGAAGATATAAATGCACAGATTGAAATGCTCAGTGAACCCCAAACAGAGGTTAAACTGAAACAACGACAAAGTGGCCTATTTCCTTCAGTCTTTCTCTTGGTAACCTATTCAGGCTTCTCATGTTATCATTCCTAAGCCATTAATTCATTTTGCCTTCATTGAGCAAACACGTACTTTCATTTAATTGAAAATACCATTGATCATAAGCACCATTATTTTGTGTAACATCTAAAAATGCTGCCAATTAATTTTAAGATGTCCTTATAAAGGACACGCCCTGATTGCACAGCTGTGAAAATGTAAAAAGGGCATCTTCGACTAAATACAAAACTTGGTGTTGAGCACACTGAGCACTGGACACTGCGGTGAGGCGAACGGACACGGGCGCACTCCTGATGTTACTGCTCGCTCTTCCTGGTTTAGCGGAAAGGACAAAATGTGCAAGGGAGAGGCACAGGCCAACAGTGACTGTTTCCACCCTAATCATTCTCTTCGTCTTCATCAGACTCTCTCTTTCCTGGAAAGGGTGAGATGCTAGGTGAGCTATTCTTTTCCTTTAAATTTTAGCCTCACCGCCCACCCGCCCCCAAAAAAACTCCTTACAAAACTCCATGTTTGCTAATTTCCTTACATTCATGAAAAATTATTTTTGTCTTAACCTGTGACAGTTTTATGTATTTTTGATAGAGCACTAAGAGACCGCAGTAGAAATTAAGTTTAAAAAAAGGGGGGGGTTCCAGTTCTTTAAAATTGCATTGGCCATTAAGTGACAACCAAGTACATAGCTCTCTTCATAGTATCTGACCCCTTACTCCCACTTTTGAGATAAAACATAAGCTGTAAGAGCCTGTGCGTACATCTCTAATGAGATCCGACTCCTAGCTAGTAAGCCTTTGCTGAAAACACACGCACACCCCTTCCCTCTACTAGATTTGAGAGTTTAGATTCCTTACTCTTTCTTTTTTCCAGATTTTTTAACCCCTGTGTTTCAAATTCATTTTGCTTTCACTACTATTCTTATCATAAGGAACAACGGCAAGCCCCTGACAGCCCAGCAGCGGTCAAACAGCCAGCACAGGTCTAGGACTGCCCTGATGAAACGCCACTCTGAATACCCCCCTTCTCAACTCCAAGCCACTAGTCTGTTCTTTACATCCACAGAGACAGAGGATTAAAAAACAAAACAAACCTAAACCCACACCGCAACTCTGGTTTCCTAACGAAACAGACTTCCCACGGGCAAATCTACACCTGAACATGATCAGAGAGCCGTTTTACACAGGGCCTTTAGCTCCTCTTCTGGCAGCCCTGCTTTAGGAGCTTTATGGAGTTTGTCAGTCTCCCAATGGCAGGACGCTGTTCAGCTGACAAGGGTCAGGACAATGTGGCTTTAACTGCCTCCCTACAGCCGACTGGGTTACGTTATGCAGGCGCTAGAGACCTCTTCTCTAGAACACTACGGTGGTTTCTGGGAGCCTCGCTGTAGTTGAACACCTAAATGCTCATGCTGTAAACAAACTCTGAAGCATAACCTACGGTCCTAAACCCTTCCATTTGGATGCCCCCGAGAGCCCTCTGCATTTGCTCTCCTGGAAAGAGAGTAGTAGCGGCTCTGTCCCTGGGGGGGAGATCCTACCAGATAAGTGTGGAGCCTTTGTACGGCTCAGTCTGGAAACTACAACATGGAAGTAAACTGCAAACTGACTGGTTTCGTTTGCTGGGCCACATGTGGGGCCACTTACCAAGCCTAGTTTTTTTTTTTTTAAGAGAAAAACTGGACATACACTGAGGAGTTTAATTCTTGAGCTCAGAAATTATCAGCCATTTTAGGAAGCCTTGAGAAACAATTTTCTTTCAATAGAGCACACTCACATCATCTTTCTGCTCTAAGGGAAGGGGGTAGCAGCGGGGTGAAGGTCAGGAGTTGAAAATATTATTTGACACGATAATTATTTTTGCAAGCTGCTGCACTGGTGTGGCCGAGGTCTGAGACTTGGCACACTCCGGGAGTGCCCGCCTCGTGGTCTGATCCCCCCCACCAAGCAGCCCACCACCTGCAGCCCGGGGCCGGGCCGGGGGAGGGGGCGCTGGCAGACCCTGGCCTCCAGCCATGCTACCTCTCTTCGGGGCACTGGATCAGACACGGCAGCTACCAGCCAAAAAAAAAAAAAAAAAAAGACAAGGAAAAGAAAAGACAAGGGGGAGAGGGAACAGGGAGGGAAAAAGACCTAAAATTTGGACTCAGAGGGTCTTTTCAGACACTTTAATCCTTTCGTGCTGATGGTTCCTGGAGCGTCCGTGGCTGGCACCGGACCCTGTAGCAGGAAAATCCGACTCCCTAAGCCAAAGCGTTAAAGAGAAGACTGCTAATCAGCTAAATAGAAACTGGAATCTGTTCCCATCAAGTCCCTTTTTCCCCCCATCAGCAGAGGGACACCATAGTGTTCTGAAATACACTCTTGACATCATTTGGCAGGCAACCCTATTCTGTTGAACATGATTCAGCCCTTAGGTTATTGTTTTTAATATTAGAAAGTGAGCTTTTAAATGCCAAGCAAATTTTGCAGCAGGGGGACAAAAGATATTCCAAGTGGTCTCACTGGACCTTCCACCAACTGTGCCCACCAAATGGCTTAAAAGACCACCTTCCCATGGTGTTTCAGAAATGAGGCAGAGACATAGCTCTGTCCAACTATTACCTAATGCAAGACTTTGTTCTCCAAGTTCACAGAGACGGTATTTAAGGATCAGGCTGAACTGAGGCAGGCAAGGCTGTGGCGTGAGAACGGAGCTGTGCAAGCAACAGAGGGAACGAGCGAGCACGGCAGAGGGGCAAAGCCCCATTACAAATGGCCGGGGCTAAAAACGTGGCTCTTCACTCACACCTACCTCCTGTCCATGTTGCCACTGACCATGAGGTTGGGAGGGCTGTCCCTGAGGTTGACGCAAGTGAAATCACCAAGCGCATTGCCCAGCTTCGAGAGGCAGCGTTCTGCTTCCAGGCTGTACACCAGGATCTGGGAAGGAAGGAAGATACGTGGGTGTGCGGCTGCATACAGCAGGCCTCCATCCAACACTTCTCATTCCGGCACCATCACGCAGCTCCCCTTAACGGAGATGTTCTGTGAGTAACTTCCTGACCTTTTCCAGGATAGGGGTATGGCTTAGAATGACAATAGGAGATGCAAAAGAAAACAAAAGAACATCCAAAGAATTCCTCAGGCCAAGGTACAAAAATCATAGGACACAAAGGAAAATGCCAAATGGGGACACTAAGTAGCCCAATTTCCTAACCTAGAAAGAGCAGCATGGAAACTAAGGGTCACTGACTGTGTCGGATTTGGAAGGCGCCTTCTGATTTTCTGATGTCCGCAGATGAGCCAGCCTGTGTTCTCTTATTTTTCCCCTCTCTGTATTGCTATCCCAGAAGGTAAAAATTCCCAGGATGGACAGTTAATCACTACGTGACAGATGATTCTTTAAGACTAAACTACAAACCAAAACACAAAGTCTTATTCCCGAACGTTAAAAAAGTTTTTTAACTGAGGTATAATTGACATTCCCAAACCTTTCTCTCTTTAGCCACTCTCCACTTGCTACTTTTAGGAGGTTCTGTTCTATAAGGTGTGGAAGCAAATAAAGTATCCTTGATCTCCAGACAATGTATTCATTATGATTGAACATTTCTGTGTTTTCTCTCCAGCAAAAAGAAAAAAAGGATGATTCATAAGGAATCTTTCTAAAGATCATTTAAGTCTTTTACTAAAAAAAAAAAAAACCCATAGTAATTCAGTTACTTAACATTAAATGCTTGCTTTGGGGGGTGCCTGGGTGGCTCAGTCGTTTGAGTGTCTGCCTTTGGCTCTGGTCATGATCTCAGGGTCCTGGGATGGAGCCCCGTGTCAGGCTCTCTGCTCAGCAGGGAGTCTGCTTCTCCCTCTCCCATTGCCTCTGTGATCTCTCACTCTCTCTCAAATAAATAAAATCTTAAAAAAAAAAATGCTTGCTGTGGATTAGTCACTGTTGTAAATACTTAAGATACAGCCCCTGTGCCCTAGAATTCACAGTTCAAAAGCCTCCCCATTCTCTCTCTTTCTCACTCACACACACACACACACACACACACACACACACACCTCTGAGCACGCATTCTATTCTGTTGATCATGTGGTTAAAATGACTGGACTCAAAAGTTTTAATGTTAATATTTTGTAGAGATTCTCCTCCCTTTGCACACACATGAAAATCATGTGCTATCTTTTTCTTCTCAACCTTACATTTATCAATTTCTCAGGATACAGATTATTTCAGTACTGAGAGGTTGATGGTCTCCACCTTGAAAACCATGATCTCCTGGTCAACACACATTTCTAACAAGTGAATCTTTGGAAATGCTTCACAGTTCAAACAAGACTATCATGTTAACTATTACCAGCAGCACCTGAAAGGAAAAGAGGCTATTTCAAATTTTATTTATTTATTTACTTACTTACTTATAAAGATTTTGTTTATTTGACAGAGAGAAAGAGAGCCAGAGAGGGAACACAAGCAGGGGGAGTGGGAGAGGGAGAAGCAGCAGGCTTCCCGTGGAGCAGCGGGGCTCAATCCCAGGACCCTGGGATCATGACCTGAGCCGAAGGCAGATGCTTAACGACTGAGCCACCCAGGCGCCCCGAGGCTATTTCAAATTTTAAAATGCCTTCCTAATCCATTAAGACTACAGAGAACAAGCTAAGTTTTATTTTTGTTTTCAAGCAGTTGAAAATAAGTTTGAAAAAACTCAAAGAATTCTAAATAGTTCTAATAAATCTGAAAACATTTCAACAATTCTAAAATACCAGAAAAAAGTTATTCTTTCAAGTAAGAACATAGAAATAATCAAATCTTCGATCTATAGTGAATAACCTAAAAGCTGCATAAAATCAGCTCCAGGAGGGAGAAAAAAAATTAACAGCAATCTCATGGTCTCTCATATAAGGGTAATTTTCTTCGCTTCTCTATCTTGGTAGAGTTCTTAGACTCAATTTCTTTTTCAACTTCCATAGTAGGAAGGTAGGCCCCCTAATGTGCAAATGTCTGCGGTAACTGTAAGAATGAAAATCTAGTGTTGAGTCCGTCTTTACTTTTTCTCATTCTTTTTTGACAAGTGGAGGGGGTCATCTCTGAGTGACACAGGGAAATCTGATCCCTCTCCAGAAAGACTGCAAATTCATCATAAAGGCATCAAAGTTCGTAGTCAAGAGTCAAGTATTTTCTGAAATGTTTAATAATTCAATGAATCCGAATATCCGAAGAGCACCTTTACCATTAGGGTTAGTTAAAGACCACAGAGATTAGAAAACACATTACCCATCTCAGAGGCAGGTCTTTCCATGTTAAAAGTCCCTTAACGACCTTTACCATTTCTCCCTCCCTCCCTCCCGCACTCTCTCTCTTTTAATAAGGTTGAGCAAATGGGACTTCATTTTATCTGATTGCCACAGACGAGTGAGATTAATTATTCATGCTCACACTCCCCCTCTTGTTAAGACCATGCATTAGACTAATTTTTCTCTTTATTGCCCTAGTTGGGTGAGTCTCAACCCATGGCCACTTGACTCCCTCTCAGAGGTGTATGGATATGCTGGAAAGAAGGCAAATACGATCCAGAGCTAAAATCTCAGAGAAAATGTTCTGCACTAATGTGACCGCCAAGTCAATAGATATTGCTGGGGATTTTTCCCTTTAAGTACCAAGTGTATGCTACAAAAGAGCCCACATAAGTGATTACAGAGCAAAGTTTTATTTTAAGAATGATCTCAAGTGACAAGGTTAAGACCGGCATCTACTTTCCAGAGAGAACCACAGGAGATGCGTGTGCGGTCAGAGGACCCTGGGTCATGTGCCTTGCTTCCAGGTAGAGATCTATCGAGAGGGCACCTGATGGAAACAAGCATTGTTTAAAAAGAACTTCAGCAGAAAGTTCCTTCTTTTTTTTTTCTTCTTCTTAGAAACCTTAAAGTATTTCCATAAATCCTAGTCTTAGAATCCAAACTTTCAATCTCAGCAGCTGTTCAGATTTCTTTGAAATCTTTTTCTTGAACAGCTTATTTTTTTTCTGATTTCAAGCGTAATATATCTTGTAACAAATTCTAACAGAATGACATAACAAGAAGTGGTAACCTACTGTAGATCTCAGAAATAACCACCCTTTAGCAGTTCAGTGTATATACGGCTAGATGTAGATCTGCCTTGTCTGTTTCTGTGTGTATAAAACTGTTTTTTTCCCCTCTGAATGGGATTATATTGTTTTACAACTTGTTTTTCCTAAACAACATGAGAGTCCTTTCCTCATTAGTGTCTATAGATAGATCCTGTTCTTTTTAATGGCTGCATAGAATTTCTCTATGGATATGTAATTTCATACTGATGGCTACTTGGGTTGTTTCTACTTTTTTAGACCAATAATGTAATTCGTTCAACAGCTAAGTCAACAAATACTTATTAATCATCTTCTTTGCAGTAGGTACTGGGATGACCAGGGATGGCAGCTGACATGCAGAAGCCTCAGCCTGCCGCCAGCTGAAAGGGTCCACCTCTTCACCAGCTGCTGCACGGCCCCCAGCTGTCCTGCTCCTCCATATATGGGACTTGCCTCTCTGAGGAGACCCACCTTACAGCCATGTCCCTGCATCTGGTGTTGTAATGGCAGGAGCGGCAGGGTTACAATCAGGAAGGAGATGGCAGCTCCAGGGCCAACAGCTGGGATGCCCTGGTGCGGGTAGGCCCTGTACCTTCCAGGTGTGACCCGGAATATGGAGTGTGCCCAGGAATGGCTTTCCAACCAAAGCATGAAGGAAAGAGCTAAGAAATGGCTACTGTCCCTGCAGTGGGGAGAGGTCCTTCGCCCACCCAGTGAGAACTGAGTATTGCACTGCAAATGCTTCCTAAATCTGGGACTGCTATTACCTTCATAATGAAACAGGACCCAGTTGCATACAGAAATCACTATGAAGAGATTATAGAGCCTTGCAGTCCCAGACTTTTGGTCATGTACTGATGAATGAAGAAAGGAGCTCCATTTCTGTTTTGATTTTAAACTTACCCAAACAGTAAGTCCTCCTCATACTCCTCTATCTGCCAAAGGCATCACACCAACAACCCGAGCAACTGGCTCACCTCCTCAGGACCCCAGCACTGCCTTTCCAAAGGAGTGAGGAGTGGTCAGAAGGCTTCCTTACAAGATGGTGGCATTTAAAAAAGCACGGTGGGGGACACCTGGGTGGCTCAGTCGGTTAAGCATCTGCCTTTGGCTCAGGTCATGATCCTAGGGTACTGGGATCAAGTCCCGCATTGGGCTCCTGGCTCAACGGGGAGCCTGCCACTCCCTCTGCTTGTGCACGCACTCTAATAAATAAAATCTTAAAAATAAATTTAAAAAAATAAAAAAAATAAAAAATAAAAAAGCACCGTGGTTTAAAGATCACTTGTCTGCCACCATTTTAAAAAGTGGGAAGTGACAAAGAGAGCTAAAGGTTGGGAGATGCTGGGCTGAGAGAGTCAAAGATAAAAGGCATGGTGTGGGAGAGGATATCTGAAATCCCTGGAGATGACAAAATCTACCTACTTTCTTTCTTGATTCCCTCAGAAGCCACCCCCATCACTATCACACATACTTTGCTCTTCTGAGGGGGACAGTCATGGTAAGAAGCCAAATTCTAGAGAGTAAAACAAATAACCCTCATGTTCTCTCCTCTTCCATGCCAATGAAGCTTATTTCGTGCTCTCTCTGCGCCCTTGGCAGAGTTCAATTTGACAAGATCCCCTCTTGTCAGTATTGAAGGTATTTATTGGCTACACACTTCAGCTGGTGTTCCCAAGGGGCCATCTTGAACTGCGCATCAGCTTCTTTTTTCCCAGACCTGTGTGCTCAAACACTGGAGACTGCTTTGGGCAGGCCACCTAAGGCTCCGTGACCAAGCACCACGCAACGTGCTGTAAAACACTGCTCAGACTTAGGCTCAAAGTTCCTTGGGGC